TGAAAAAGTACATACCTGCATCAAGCATTTCAACCACCACAGAAAAATCTTCAGACAAGTTATTCTAAATAACTCAAGTCAAGATTTCAACACACATTATGAAAAATAACTACAAATAGGATGGGATTGCTAAATATCTTTTTTTTTGTGTTGTGGTGGGTTTTTTTTTTTTTTGCATCTAGCTTGACCTTTGATTTAGTTGTTTTCTTCTACCAAATCTCACATTGAAAACAATGATATTGCTGTCTTTGGGAGTACGTAACTCAAGCGAGGATGATGGAACTTGGCAGTTTATAACAAATGTATTTCTAATTTAAATTTACCTTGATCTGGGCTTTGCTAAACTTTCCTGGTAGACAGACAGAAAAGAATAGATTTTTTCCTGGAAAAAGAGTGCAATGGCATTATGCAATTATATTATTACCACTACACCTTTTTCACATGGTAGTCCTACCAGAATATCTGATTACATAAATTAAAAAAATCTGCATTTAGATTAGGCCTTGATGTTACCTTTAGTGCTTCCCAATCCTTTCAGCAATGATTATGTTTTCTCCTTAAAAATAATGTAGCTTTAAATGTATTTTAACTACTTTTTCAACTTAAAAATCTGCTAAATTTTCTGCACAGGTAAGAGCTTTGACTAGTAGAATGTACGTACAACATTTCTCAACATGTTTTTGACTTTTATATTAGATTCAAATTCAATACTATACAGGCAATTAGACTGTTAATTATCAAAAGTAGAAGTGTAAATGACATGCAAAGATGTCTGTTGCATGGACATTAGTAACAAATAATTACTAATGTTATCATAACTTCTGATGATATAATTCTGTATTTTTCTTTGCTTTCATCACACAGATTTTGTTACAAAGACTTCCACTTGCATTTGTTTGACAATTATCAGAACACATCTTAGAGAGTTTAGTAGTTTTGAATGGTAGTACTTATATTCTATTCGCAGTTAATTTCACTAGTTAAGACTATGCACGTTTTTTCTGGTCACTGTTATGTGAATCGAATGCATTCAAATGTTTATATGGTGGTTCTTCAGCTGTCACTTGTTTTCACCTCAGACTTTTTCCCACTAAGCACACTGTAAGGTATTAAATAAATTCTTCATACACTCAAAAGCCATTTTGTAGGAACAGGATATTAAACTAGCTTATCAGCTACTGAGGCTTTGGTATAAACTGGTCTGGAGCCACACTCGTGAACTGGATCTCCAGTGACCTTGATTCTCAGTAGGATATATAGCCATATCCCAAAAGCACGCAGCAAACTGCAAAAACCTCTTAATCTCATAACACGAAGTGGACTGAAAGACAACTGTTGGGTCAATATTAAGGCAGATGGGGAGAATGCATTAAGGAAAAGCTTGGACTAAACCTTTCACTTACAACATCTTCTTATAGATACATAATAAATAGGATGTAGTCTAAGGAACAAAATGCAGATAGCTGGCTCTTTTGTTTATTCCTCACCCAGTAAAACCTGTTGCTTTTACTAGGTGTTGACCTGAATCAAAAGTGAAAAGGAGTTCAGCTTTTGAGCAGTAAGGAACTGAACTAAATTCACAGAAATATTATAGACAAATAGCTTCTCCTTGTACTTAGTTGCCTGTTTGCTTTTATTTTCATTTTTTTTATGGGTTAAAAGCTTTCCAGAAAAATGCTTCCACAGCTTCTTTATACCTACTCTTTCTTTTTACCAAATGTATTTTGAAATGTATTTATACTTCTTCAACATGCCATTATTACAATTTCTTGAATTCTGACAGTTTGTTAGGTACTGGAAGAAATACAACAGAAGGTATCGGTGCTGTCTCAGAGGTCTTACAATCCCCACTATGAATTCCATGTTTCCTCTGGGGAGTAAACTCAGATTATTCCTTCAGTGGGGTATCTTGGAAAAGCACTGCCTACCACAGGCAAAGGATACAAGATATGGTCTTGTATTATACTGTTTTTACCTTAGTAAAGACTTTTAGTATCTGAATGATGGTAGTACCTGACCTTTAAAAAAAAGGGACTTAGTGAGTCCTGAACACAAAACGGAAGACAGTGACAGACAAGATACAGAACAAGGAAAAGAGGACTTTTTTAAAGGATGTAGAGGTAGTCTATGGGCTAGCAAAAGAAGAAGTGAAAAGCAAGAAGTTTGTCAAGAACAGACAAAATACCTCAGTGGAAAAGCGTGAGTACTAGAAGGCAGTGAAAAGTGATACATGACAAAAATTGGCAGGAGACTGCTACCATTAGAACTCTGATCTTTCTTCAGAGAAAATACTAAGACATGGAGGAACGTATTTCATATTGAAATGGTTCAGCAATGTGGTAAAAAACAGTTAAATGAGTTTGAGAAAACAGCGGAATGAATGGAAGGACAGAAGCAGAATATAATTAGAGGAGTCCACGGAATAAAGAGCAGTCCAGACATTGCAGAGAAAAAAAAATCAAAAATAAGTGAAATGACTGAGGATGAGAAAAAAAGGAAAGAGAAAAGAAAGTTACAAAGTGAGCAACAGAGAACAGAGGAAAGAAAAATCTAAAAGCAGATTCTAAGAAAAAATAGACAACGTGCAAAACTTGCTTACTGATTGAACACAAAATGAACATTTTTCAGAGCTTGAAATGCAATGTTTAGTCACTTCCAGTACTTTAATTTCAAAATAAATGTGAAAGTTTTTCATGTTGCTGAATGAAAGACACTTCTTCTAGCCTAAAATAATTGTGCTGATGCTCTGTGTTGTTCCTCTTCTGATTTTTTTTTTTTTACCAATTTAATAATGTCAAATTCAAAATAAAAATCTCAAAATACATTGTTGCTACAACACGCCTGAAAAGACACACCTACAGTAACATTAGTACTCTAAGAAAGACTTTAATAACATACTGTTGGTGGTCTATCAGTTAGATAGCATATTAACATTGACGAGTTAATGAGTACATTCACAAACTTTGGACCGTCCACAACCCTCGCTGCTACATGCCCAGCTATATAAAATCTTTAAATACAGAGCTATAAATTTGTAAATTTGCCAGAAATCTGGTTTCACTAGTTCTTCTGCTCATAGACAAATTGTTGGGAGTGGGATTTAAAAGGCTTGCTAAAAGAATAGAATACGTGGAAGTCTGCTTTTTAGAGGATAGGTTGTGTATGAAATGCCTAAAATCTTCGTGTCTCAAGAAGCTAGACATAAGGCAAAGAGATTCAACATACATACTACCACGATAAATTAAAAGGAAATTGGGAAAAAAAGTCCCTCAACAGGCATCAGATCATACTACCCAACCTGACCGCCATTTTCATTGAAATTTGCATGCATAATCAACGACAAAGAGAAAATAATATCTTGCATTTCATCAAAAACACTGAGTGATAACAAGCTTTGTATTTTATCTTTTCCAGTGACTTGCTGTATGACTTAACAACTAATTAATCTGTTCTTGCATTTAGAGAATTTAGGTAATTATACTAACTTAACAGCCTTCCAAGTGTGGGAGGATTCATTTCTTCTATTAATTTTGGTTTTGATTTAGACCATAATATCTTCACTGCTAAAGCACCTTTGGAGGTATGCTCTATATGGATCAAGCTGATGAAATTATAGCTCAGGCAAACTATAATTGTAGCAAATATTCAAAATGTTTTAAGATCCTTTAAAACAGATACAAAACGATTTGTCTTCATTCCGAAAATACTCAGCAAATTGTATAAATAGATTTGTACTATTATTTATATTTATTCCACATTCCTAACCCTGGTGTTACAATAATCACTAAATGTTTATCTTCAATGTTCTCTGACCTTTTCTGAACAGTCTGAGCCTTTCAACATTGACGTCCTGCTTATTTATTTTTCTGTTGACTTTATTTTCCTGTCTCATTTATAAGAGCCTCTTTTAATTACTTTAAAAATGTTCAAATAACCAGCTTCCATGGCTGGCTTACCAGTATGTAATGAGCCAGAATTAGAGTGGGTGGTATGCTGTGATTCTTGTCATTCCTATTCCTCAGTTTTTGGATGACAAAAGCAAGAATAGTTTTCAAATATGTGAAGCATTTATAGCTTAGCCTTAGCCTTACTAACTGAAGGTATCCCAAAATTAAGCTCACAAAAATCAGTGATCTTAGGAATTCGCTTTGAAAGGGGCAGCACAGTAAGCCATGTAAGCTACAATAACAGCCCTGTAATGAGGAGCACCCATCTTACAGCATACATCTATCAGGATTGGCAGATATGTTCTGATGATTTTCTTATCAGTCTGATTTTAAGGCTTTCTGAAAGATCTGCTCTTGTCAAAGGCTTCCAAAGATTCCCCATCTCTTTCTGTTAATTTTCCTTACTCCCAAAGCATTAAGAGGAGCTGACGTTTCTCTCTTGAGAGTTTATTAATTCATACCATGTATTGCCTAAAGAGGTTTGCTACCTTGCAAACAGCATGGAGGACTCATTTCCCTGGAACTGATCTCAGACTGTCCCTCAGGTATGTCCTTTACAGTTCCAGCTCCTCATAGTCCTAAACTGAGGGTTTAAACTTGAATACAGATTAAGGTTTCTACCCATTTTCAATAAAAGATGCCATTTATCTTTCTTAATTTTCATGGTCTTTACTTTCATACACAATGTAAATAATAATTTCAAAAGCTGTTTCATTGATCAAAACACCCTTTCTTGAATATTAAATCAACACTATTCTCCGTTTTCATGCCACCTTCTGAATGCCATAGATACATCTGTATTCTCTCTGCAGACATTCTCTCTGTAGACCTTTAGATATTCTAAAATTAATTTCTCTTGCACAGACCAAAGAAAATAATTCTGGCCCATCCAATTTGGCAGTGCCACACTCAGATCGCCCACTTGCAAAGCAACCACTTTTTTTCTTTGACAGACTCAGAACTCTTTCTGAAAAAAGATAATGTTTTCATTTGCAACAAAACAGAAAGCAGTAATCTTCACATAAGATGCTTTGAAATAAATTTTGGGCTTACCTGCAATGTACAACCATAGGTCCAGCATCAGGTGGGTTGCAGGTCTTGACTCGTCGCAGGAAAGCTAGGAACGGTGTTGGGTGTTCTGGGACACCATGGTCAGGCCAGGCAGTGAACTGGAATTGCCTCACTTCCCTTTTCTCACTTGAACCATTCTATGAAATTAAAGAACTTCATGACAAAACTGCCACTTGATGGGATATTGGCACTTTTCAATGAAACAACTGCAGAAGCATATACAACAGTGAAGGGTATTTAAATGACATTTGGGGACAAAGAGAAGTGGAACTCACGCTATGGAGGGTTATGTTTCTTATATTCTAAATTGCAGGATTCAAACCACGTAAGAGCTTTAACTAAACTGTACAGTAATGCATCACAACAACTGCCAGAACTTTAGCTAGTATTTCAATCAATTAAACAGTTTTTAAGAGAGCTCTGTAAGAAAAATACACTGTCTGTAGAGGAAGTCTCATTGTTCAGTGCTGCTACGAGGAAACCAGGGAGGAAGGTGGAAGGAGCAAAAGGGAAGAAAGGCAATGAGGAAATGAGTGAGAAAGGCAGGCAGGGAAGGCAGGAAGTAAAACAAAGAAGGGGGGCAGGTGGCAGGAGGGAGAGAGTGATAGGAAGGAAGGCAGGCAGGCAGGCAGGAAGGAAGGAAGGAAGGAGGGAAGGTGGGAAGGCAGGAAGGCAGGCAGGAAGGAAGGAAGGCAGGAAGGCAGGCAGGAAGGCTGGAAGGCTGGAAGGCAGTAAGGAAGTAAGAAGGAAGGGGAAGGGGAGGGAAGGGAAGGGAAGGGAAGGCAAGGCAAGGCAAGGCAAGGCAAGGCAAGGCAAGGCAAGGCAAGGCAAGGCAAGGAAAGAAAAGGCAAGGCAAGGAAAGGAAAGGAAAGGATAAAAGCTGCCTACATTTAAATTTTAAAGTATATTTTAAGTATATATATGTATATATACCTTGTAAAGTGCAAATGTACGAACACAGTACGTTGCCAATTCAACAGTGTCTAAAAGGGTCACTTGGATTAGTCCATAAGTTTCTGTGCCTCTGCTTGGCCAGTATTGATCACACTTCACCTGTAGCGAAAAATATGTAACTATTTAACACATTTAAACCTGACATTTATTACATATCCGACTACATATCACTACAGGTTTCTAAAGTATGTGGAGTTAGTGTTCACCAACTGCTAAGGATCCAACACAATAAATTTATTTCATCATCCACACTACTTGCTCTCCTGGTACAATATCTTCTTCTATAATGGGTATTTGTAAATTCAGTGGGGCAGACGATTGAGAAATACTAATAAAAAATATTAGAGTAGCTAAAAAGATGACCTACATCTTCAGTAACTCACATTTCACAGTCTAGATTTTAATAACAGTACTAATCCAGTAAAGGCAGATAGACAATTTTTTGAGCACTGGCATATTTCACATATTCCACATAGTCCCCAAACATACAAACTGTTGCTTGGATGTTAATATTTAGTATGTATAAAAATATCTCAGCAAAAACCTGAATTTTTGAGAAATAATTTTAGTACACAGATAGACGAAAAAGCACCAACAATTAATAAGTGAACTGGGAGAAAAGACAATTTCCTTCTCAGATCAGTGTTACAAAGCATATAATGAAACCGTGTTCACAGGCATTTAAAAAACATGGTTGATAGAGAGAGTTCATCTGTCAAATTTTAAAAGACACAGTACATTTCATTCAGAGAAATTTCCATTTCAAAACACCATAGTTTCAACTATTAATGAGCTGAAATAATTCTGTATAAGATGATGCATAAGAGAACAATGTTTGTCATTATTGCTAAGGCTCATTTTTTTCAGGTAAAAATGGTATTTATGATAAAGGCTATTACGAAAAAAGAAATGTTGAACCCCTAAAACAAGCAGAAAACATGGTACAAAATTGTATGGGGGTTAAATAATGGAAAATATTTTGCTTTCAGTGACTGATAGGTGAAACTGAGACAGTCGGCCTCCGTTCTATTTATAACAATATATTCTTATCAATTAGCCTTGCATTTGGTACAGAAGTGTATCCTGAGTCCAGCAAAATACATTGCATTTGTTTAACAAAAGTCTTCATTAATCACTCTAGGCCAGACTCATGCCAAATTCAGAGAGAATATACAAATTATACAGAACAACAAAAGCAGAACATTGCACGGTACTTCTGATAAAAATATGAATTATCATGCTAATCCAAGAGAAAAACTGGTGATTCCCCCAAAATGGAAAATTAAGAAATGCATCTTTCAAACTCATGCATTGTCCAGGTTTCTCACTCTGCACAATATTTATTGAAAAAGAGTAAACTTTCAAACTCCCCAATCCCAAACAGCTTTTGCTTGCAGATCATTTTATTTTGAGGCTCATAGGTCACAGATCACTAATGGTTCACAAATCACAGTCTGAGAACAATTACTCTAGATAAAGAAGAGACAAAATTCTAACCACTGAAGCAGGTGATGAACATTCATTAGAGGCAAAAAAAACCCCAAAAACTGAAACAATTTTTTACAGGAACCGATAGCTTAATTTATAGATAAGGATGGAACAAAATAACTAAAACTGCTTTTTGATAGTAATCTTAAAAATAGGATTGATATTGTATAAAATCCTACTATTAAGAAAATTAATTACTTCCTTGCGCCATTTACTGAAATACTGAAAGAGTAAGTATTGCAGGTATTTCATTAATATTGGTGATTTATTTGCAAGATTCCTAATATTAAAAGAAGCCACCACGGTCTTCTGCAAATCAGACAGAAAGGTGTATTTTCAACTGAGTTCTTTCAATATAATTACAGGAAATCTAGTTTCACTTTACCAGTAACACAGACACAGTGTAACTTGTGTCCATATTGGTTAGCTGTATTTTAGACAAACAAGTTGTTATTCATTAATTTCCATAGAATGACTTAAATTTTTTCACAGAAAATATTGATATACAGTAGCTACTGCTCATAATCTTAGCAACTACAGGTTTAGTATAAACCTCTGACTAAACCTGTTTGGTTTAAATCATTTTTCAAATGAACAAAAATGTCAGAATACTTTACGTACTTCAAATAATATGAGTAGAAGAAATAAATGGCTGCCTATGCCTTTGCACACCTAACCATGTAGTTCTCTTTACCCTGCAGTTCCTGCATATAAATTGTGCTCGTAGAAGCAGTGCCAGCTTCCAGAAAGCATGCCTGAAAAATTAACCAGCTTTCTCAGTAGAAAGACTTTATAAAAACAACTTCCAAATATAACACAGAGAAATAAATGTTCAACACAAAAATTCAGAACATAGTAGGTTACCAGCATCTTTGTAAACAACAGGAAATATTTGTTTTAATTTTATTTTGTAGAGTAATCTAATGTTAAGCCTATACTCAGATTTAGAAGCCTGTAGAGAATTGCTCCTTTTCAGCTAGGCTGGGACAAAATAAATGTGCCTGCTCTTTCAGGTGGAGATTTTTATTTTTTTAAAAATTTGTTAGTTTAGCTAATGTAATTCCAATCATTTTATAATTTTTCAAAAATACTTCCTGTGAAAGCTAGCTGATGCAGAGGGAGGACTGCTGCTGCAACCAAACAGTAACTGTTCAAAAATAAACACAATTTGTCAATCAGTGTATGTATTATTTGAAAGTGGAAACTGATGAAAATAAGTATCAAATTTTTATAAGGAAAACCTGATTTTGGATTGATGGGGATTTGACCTTCTGGAAGAGCACATGAAGCATAAGTTGATGGAACTACATCTTTTATTCCTTTCTCTTCTTGATTTTTCTCAGAACAAGAAGTCTTCTTCAGAGATGTGCCCTTAGCGGCCTCCTACACTCTTTTGCTCTGTGATCATAAACCTTACATTCCCAACACCCTTTGCAATTTAAAGTTCAATTTGCTTTTGTGGGAGATCAGAACAATGTTTTCTATTGGACTTCACCAGCAGCAGAGAATCAAATAACATAGGTTAATGGTTAAGACATTTTTTGAGACAGAGTTCTTGTCAAATTTTTTATCCTATGTTAACATTCCAGCCTTCAGCATTTGAAGCAAGTTTATTTTTCAGAGGTTACACGTTAAGCTTTTTTTCAGAAAAAAAATTCTCAAACCCCTTGACCCATACAAAATTTAACACTAAATGTCAACAAGTTAATTTAGAAATTATTTGCCAAATGTTTTTTTGCTTTAGCTTTTTGGTCTGTGTTTGATTTCCATGTAGTAAAGGCAATTTCTTCCTCACTTGTGTATGTTGTTTGGAAAACCGACAACTTTAATGTGGTAAGGTATGGTGATGATAACGTGTCCTCCTTCAGAAATACAATTAAAGGATTTATTTATTTTCAGAGTTAGTTCGTAACATGCCTTTGATGAATTTCACAGTCCTCACCTTCCCCTAATCCACCCAGCACCCAGTTCCAATGGTTGAACTTTTCCTCTGCAGACTCTATTCACCTACACCCAATCAGAGCTTTTCTGTGCCACTAACTGTACGTTGTCCAGAAAACAGCTTTCACCAATAATTCTCTAATGCTCTCTTGCTGGTCACTAAAGATGGCAAGATGAATGAAATAGACACATGAGCACAAAAGAACTCAGTAACAATTTCAGAGTGTTTTTTAAAGAGAAGTTCAATCAGAAGTAATGACAAGCATACCTTTTACCACTGCTTTCACTATCTCATGATTGTAGGTTGCACACTGCCAAAACTACTATATCTGAGATCAAAGCAGCTCTCAAAAGACTACTAAATACATTATGAAATCTTCTAAGTACCATAGTAGTAGACATAGCTAGAAGACATAACTAATGAAAGGCACATTCTCTTAACCTGCTCTTCAAACACAAACACGTTTTCTTCCTTTACATTTCTTCTACTCAGGCCATGCGAATCCTTGCTCTTCATGGAAGTACGAGCATTCACTGAAAGGAAAGCTGTAAGAAAATGTAAATGCTTTCTTTTCCATTAAAAATGGTAAGCTGGAGACCATTTCAGACCTGAGGGGTTTAAGTAGCTACAGAGTTCCTAAGATTATTCGTGGATATTCACACTTCAACAAGTCACAGACACTAAAGAACGTGCTGCCATACATCAACAGAGCTGAAGGAAGTGTATTTCTATATGAACATATGAATACAAAGATTCTTGACATTCAAGGGTAGAGAAAGAATTTTCCAGTGTAAAGCTCCATCATTCAGGCTGAAAAGCCCCTTCGGGTGATTCTTAACACATGAGCCAGCTGTTATAGGCCATCTGAGATTATAGAGACAAAATGCAGACCATGAAAGAGACACCAAACTAGTAATAGGCAGATTCATATAGTACATTCCTTGCTTTAAGAACAGCACATGAATTATGCTGAATCTGGAATATGAAGTAACAGCAGTATGTAACAAACCTCTTGCTCTGTTTAGCAGTACGTAACACACTTCTTGCACTGTTTTTCTTAATAATAATAATAGTCTTCTGCAGACAAAACTCTCTAATGACATTTTCAGATGGTCTTCCTACAAAAATAAAGTATCTACAATGATGCAATAAAAAGGTACTGCCAGTTGTTGGCGTCAAACCCTATCACGCTAGCTTAGTGTCTCAGACATTCCAGCTAATGTTCGTTCTTCTAGCAGGTGTTATTCTGAAGCCATTTTCCTTTTTGCAACAACACCTTGCCACCCAAAGATTAGGCTGATTTGAGTCTAAAGACTGTAGGCACTGACACTAGTACATGAGATTGTAATGCAAAGATGTTTTAAATAAATTAAGAATATAGAAACAAATTTTTTAGGCTTTATTTGAACAATATTTGGTTAAGTGTCACTTGTTCACTTTGATCTAACTCTAAATGACAGATTAAAAATATAAACTGCTATTCATAAATAGGGCTGAAATTAAAACAGTCTAAAGTTCTAGATTTTGCTTTCAGAGAGGCACTGAACTTAATAGGATCTTAAATTCTGAAAGAACTGAGGACCCAGTCTCAGGTTGACAGATCCTTTTAAGTCCCACCAAATGTATTCCCAAGACAATTAATCACTCCTTGAAATTTTGGTTCTTTGAA